GCAGCCTCTGTTCGAGGCCAGCCCAGACCACCATGGAAAAGGGCTGCTCCACAGGACGTGAAGCAGCCTCTGCCTGTGCCGAGCCTGGGCCCACTGCAGGCAGAGGCTGCTGCACCCTCACACACTCACACACGCACACGCACACATGCTGCTGTCTCTATTAGAGGCAGTAGTGAGGTGGGGCAGGTGTCACCATGGAGGCAGTGCTGGGGGGGAACTGGCTTTTAATACAGAGGCAGCGAGGGTGAGGGAATGCAAGTAGGCGATTCAATTACCTGGTAAGCCTAGGCTTATCAGTTAATCAATTACTCAACTAGTCACTTACATCCCTATTCCTAACAAGCCCCAACAATGCCAGAAGAAATTGAGCTCTGGCAGAGCTGGTTTGGAAAATGGGGACAAACAAAAGCATAAAACTTTTCACCCTCAAAAAATGTTTTTGTATCTATAAATTTCATTTCATATGATCATTTATTATAATTTTTTTTTTAATAGTGAAACCTGAAAATAAACCATGGTGAACCATAATGGTCCTAATGGTTGATAATCTCCATGCAGCAAACTGCAAATCACACCCAGGGTGGAGGGTAAATTCCACTCTCTGGGTATGTCTACACTACCCTCCTATTTCAAAATAGGAGGGTAATGTAGGCATACCGCACTTGCAAATGAAGCCCGGGATTTGAATTTCCCGGGCTTCATTTGCATAAGCCGGGCGCCGCCATTTTTAAATCCCGGCTGGTTCGAACCCCGTGCCGCGCGGCTACACGCGGCACGAACTAGGTAGTTCGAACTAGGCTTCCTTCCACGAGGAGTAACGGTAGTTCGAACTAGGAAGCCTAGTTCGAACTACCTAGTTCGTGCCGCGTGTAGCCGCGCGGCACGGGGTTCGAACCAGCCGGGATTTAAAAATGGCGGCGCCCGGCTTATGCAAATGAAGCCTGGGAAATTCAAATCCCGGGCTTCATTTGCAAGTGCGGTATGCCTACATTACCCCGCTAGTTTGAATTAGCGGGGTAGTGTAGACATACCCTTTGTTACATGGGTGTAAATCACAGCAGAGGCCAAAGAAGCTAACAAAACAACAAACATGTTAATAGGGTTATACCAAGAGTGGAATTTCACCCTTTGCTTTGTTTTCCTGGCTCACCTCAATGGCGTTATGTGTTTCCTTTTCAGTTTGGAGGCCTGGAGGCTGTCATCACGGCAGTAATGGATGAGTACCCTCACATCCTAGCAAAGCGAAGGGAGCTCTTTGTTCTTGGCCTCATCACCATATGCTTTTTGGGCTCTCTCACCACCCTTACACATGTGAGTAAGCCTGAGCCACATTAGATGCTCCCTCCTTCCTTTGCAAACTCTAAATTCTTTGTGAAAAGTTCAGCCATGAAAACTGGCTACAGCTAACATACAGTCCAGCAACATGAAGGAGCAATTCAGATTATCCTTCCCAATCAGTACAGAACTGCTGTCCTCAGCCCAAAACTAATTTCCTGAAGTTAGGGCCTAGAACAGGTCTACATTACTAGGGAAGATCGAATTAAGATACACAACTCCAGCTATGTTAATAATATAGCTGCAGTCAATGTACCGTCATCTGAGTTTCCACGCCATATCGCCAGTGGGAGGTCAATGGAAGCAAATGCTCCCATCAGCATCCCTTAATCCCTGCGAGGAGCAGGAATCCTGGCACTGACGGGGATGCCCTCTGAGTTTGTGAATGTTTACTAGACCCGCTAAATCGAAGAAAGAAGATCAATCACAAGAGCATCCATCTTTTGTGTAGTGAAGACAAGCCCTCCTGGTACATTTCATCAGCCGACTCTCCATTTTCATTAGTTTGTTGACACATTCAAAGCATTCTGATAGTTTGAAGTGTCCATGTTTGCCTTTTCAGAGCCCATTCTGTTTTGTGGGTGTGTTCCTGTTACTTTTATCGGGGCAGAAGGAAAAGAACTTTTCTCTCTCTTCTTCATCCCGCTCCTCTTGACCCAGCACACTCCCTTTATACTGACTCCCTCAATCAGCCTCCCCTAAAGCAGTGGTTGAAAATTGCTGATGCCCGTGGCCCAACATGATTATATCTTTTGACTCGCGTGTGGGCTCCAGGATGGGACCGAGAGTGAGGGGTTTAGGGTGCAGGGCAGGGGATTGGGGCAGCAGGTTGGGCATGGATTTACCTCCAGTGACTCACAGTCAACAGAGCAGTGGGGATTCTAAGGCTGCTTCCCATCTGTCCTGGCACCCCAGACCATGCTGTGACCCGGAAGCAGCCAGGAGCAGGTCTGAGTCCTAAGCAGAGGTGTGCCAGCAGCTCTGCACACTGCTCTCACACAGCCCCCATCCTCCTCAGCTCCCATTGGCTGGGAACTAGCCAGCTGGTGCTCAGGTGGAGGGCAATACGTGGAGCCCCATGGCCCCCTGCGTAGGAGCTGGACTCACTGCTGGTCACTTCTTGCTTGCAGTGTGGCCTATGGTGCTAGGACAGGTAGGAAATCTGCCTTAGCAATCCCTGCTAGTCACCTGGTCATCCTACAGAAAAGCGACCCAGTGCCTGGTAATCCATGACCCAGTACAGGGTCACAACCTGTTCTTTAAAAAACACCGACCTACAGGACTTCATGTCCATGACCAACACCTGAGCCAATATCTTGAGGGAGAGAAAAAGAGTTTCCTTCACTTTCTTCTTAACCCCATTCACTCCCAGGTACTGGCTTGTTAATGCCAGTGTGGACTGAATGCTTCAGAAAACTGGTGCAATACAAGTCAGAGACACTAACATCACAGCCTGTTTGCATTTGTCATTCCAGGGTGGGGCATATGTTGTCAAACTCCTGGAGGAGTTTGGTGCTGGCTGGGGTGTTATTGGAAGCAATAGCTGTGTCGTGGTTTTATGGTAAGGAGGAAAAAAAATCCCTCTCCAGCAAAGGCTTATATTTTGTGCTCAAATAACCTATGACTGTGGTTCTGCAAAGACTTACATATGTGCTTTCCTTTATGCACATGGGTAAGTCCCAGTGACTTCAATGGATTTCTCATGTATAAATGTTTGCATGCATGTTAATCATTCCTGGGATCCCCAACAAATACAGCAGCTCCAAGCTCTTTCATGCAACTCTTTCTAAATAAGCCCTCTGCTCTGAATGGGCTGCCTGGTTCCTCCCTGCTTGTGACAGTGATACAATGTCAGTGGCATAGCAAGGGGTAAGTGGAGGAGGCAGACAATTGCCCCCAGGCACCACACCAATTTAGTCCCCCTCCTCTCGCCCTGTCATCCCTCAGCTCGCCTTCTCCTCCTCTGGCTCCTGCTGCAGGCTAGAGCCTCCTCCCCGCTCCCAGCCTGACCCTCTTCCAACTCTGGGTTAGTGCATGTGGAGGCCCAGCCTCAAACTGGAGGGGGGGTGGGAAGATGAGGTACAAGCACCCTCTCTTCTCCCAGGGTCGGGCTCAGCCGTGCACCAGGTTCAGGGCCCCGCCATATGGTGACGGCAGGGGGAGGAGAGCAAATTTTTTCCTTTGCACAATGTCTGTGATTTTCCTGCCCTCCGCCCCCATACAGGAATTCAGAGGTTCTGTAATGATGTCAAATCCATGCTGGGTTTCACCCCAGGGATTTTCTGGAAGGTCTGCTGGGTTGCCATCAGCCCTGCCTTTTTAGCGGTAAGTATATTTGTCCCAAACAAAAAATTAAGTCTCCAACTCTCCTTTCACCTTCCACCAAAGGAGTACGGCAGAAAGGGATCTAGGGGTCATAGTGGACCAAAAGCTAAATATGAGTCAACAGTGTGACACTGTTGTAAAAAACAAAAATAAAAAAACTCCATGACTCTAGGGGTATGTCTAGGGGTATGAACTGGCAGTCAAGATGGGGATCGGTCGGCAAGGAAAGCCTTTGCCAACCAATCCTGTAAACCTTGTTGCACGAGGCATAAGGGATCGGTCAGAAAAGGCTTTCCTTGCTGACTGATCCCCGTCTTGACTGCTGGTTCGTGCCGACAAACAGTTGAGCTGGCATAACACGGCGGCCATTTTTATTCTAATGAAATGGGGGATATTTAAATTCCCTC